ATGTAGTGAGATCCTCAAGAAAACTAATGAGACGCTCGATGTTGTGAGAAAGGACCGACTAGAAATTAAGCATACACTGACTGAAATAAAGACTATTATACAGACTCCCAACAGCAGACCAGAGGATCGCAAGAATCAAGTCAAGATTTGAAATATGAAGGGAAAAAAAACACCTAACCGGAAAAGCAAAATGAAAAAAGAATCCAAAAATATGAAGATAGTGTAAGGAGCCTCTGAGACAGCTTCAAGCATACCAACATCAGAATTATAGGGGTGCCAGAAGAAGAGAGAGAGCAAGATGTTGAAAACCTATTTGAAGAAATAATGACAGAAAACTTACCCTACCTGGTGAAAGAAACAGACTTACAAGTCCAGGATGCACAGAGAACCCCAAACAAAAGGAATCCAAAGAACTATTGTTGGGGGGGAAAGGGGTTTGGGAGATTCGGGAAGAGACTGGACAAAAATCATGCACCTATGGATGAGGACAGTGGGTGGGGAGTGAGGGCGGAGGGTGGGGTGGGAATTGGGTGGAAGGGAGTTATGAAAAAGAGTAGCCAATGTAATAATCTGAACAATAAAGATTTAATTTTAAAAAAAAAGAATGAGGGGAAAAAAAGATAGAAAAAAAAGAAAAGATACAAAATACTGTCACAATGCCTGTCTCTCAGAAACTTGGATTCAATCGCTTTATCTTCTTCTCAGCCAAAATTGTGTCTGATGTAGGTGCCTATGCTTCTATCCTGACAGGAAGATTTTAGGAAAGTTGTAGCCAGGCTGCTGATATGTACCATCAAATTATATTCAGAGCACCATTTACGAGGAACAAAGTATGAACAATTTTCTCGAAGTTGTATGTTAAGGTAGACCAGGTTGGAGCACAGAAAATGGGGTTTAGATTTATGGTTTTAGAATCATTATGGTAGGTCTGCCTAAGATTATACCTAGATTATATCCTTTAGTTATATAAGTACTTTTTATACTTGATCTCTAATAGTGTCAAAAATAATAAGCACAACATGTTTAGGGATCTGAACCACAGGTGAAAGGAGATGAGAGTAAAGCTAAAACAGGTCAAGTCAGCAAGAATGTGACACTCCAATCCAATGAAGAATCATTTAACTCTTAAGAAAGAAGCATGACTAGATTTATATTTAGGAAAAAATAGCTTTAGTGAACATGTAGAAGATGAACTGGAATGGGGACAAAGCAGAGTCAGTGGAATACAAAATAAATTAAGGAAAATAACAGTCAAGATGAAAGATAGCTGATCAAGGCAGTATGACACTACTTCCTCTGTGACAACAATGCAGGGAAGTACAACACAGGTTTACTTCTGGGAGTGAAGATTAGATATATAGGGAGTGCTCATTTTTGGTGAATAAAATGTATGAAAGTCAGGTCAAGAATGAACAAAAGGACTAAAGAGTGGTGAAGGTTCAACTCAGCAGTGGAGTCAACCCAAGAGTTCCACAATTCTCCCTAGTGCACTTGGCAGCTCACACAGAAAGAGAAAAAAAGAGATGGGTCTGCATTGGTCAAGGGACAGGGGTCAAAGAAAATCAAAAGTTTTAAAAAGAAAAGGAATAGTGGTCAACTGGGAAAGAGAGACATAAAACCATGAGATGGAAACATGATAAAGATACAAGAGCAGGCATAAATACTGATAATCCCTATGCCTTAACTCAGACATCCAATTACCTGTTCATCACAATCAGATTCCAAGAAGGTCATGTCTTTTCGTAAGCAGTTGTCAAATCCATGCTCATCACTTTCATTAAGACATTCACAGCCAGCTTTGTTAATAAAAGGCATTAAATCCATCTGAAAAAATTAAATCAAGATTTTAGGCAAAGCATTTGGGTTTGGTTTAAAAATCTTAGTAAAACATATAATTCTCTCTACATTAGGCAATTTTAGAGAAAATATCTATCGCTTTTAAAATAGTGATTAGCTGTAGCTGGCTTGGCTCAGTGGAGAGTTGGCCTGCAAACTGAAGGGTCCCAGGTTCGATTCTGGTCAAGGGCACATGCCCGGGTTGCAGGCTTGATCCCCAGCTAGGGATGTGCAGGAGGCAGCCGATAAATGATTCTCTCTCATCATTGATGTTTCTATCTCTCTCTCCCTTCCTCTCTGAAATCAATGAAAATATATTTAAAAAATAATAGTGATTAAACTTTAATAATACTTTCATTTGATTTCTGACTGAGATCTATCTCTAATTATTAAAGCCAAATCTAGGCTTAGCCCATTAAATAAGGTATCAGAAACCAAGTCCTTAACACTAAGATTATAAAATATTGACTGATTTTTTTTAATATTGGTATTTAACAGTGGAAAATATGCAAATTAAAATATCTATAAAATTTGAAGCCTTCTCTTCTTTTGGCCATGAACTCTTTAAACCTGTGTCCTTGAAGACCTTACATTAAAGATGACTAGTACTCCAGGTACCCACCTCCCAGCTATAATAAACATCAATTCATGTCCACTCCTATTTCATCTTTACCCTGCAACCAGTCCTCAACCTTTCCCGATTATTTTCATGTAAATCTTAGATTTTTTTCATTTCACTCAAACATTTCAGTGAGCATTTCTAAGTGATAAGAACTCATTTTTTAAAATCATCAATATCATTATCACAACTAAAACAAAAAAATACTATTTAAAAATCAAATATCAGTGTTTAAATTTCCTCAGTTGTCTGAAAAAGGTGAAGGGATAAAAAAAAAGTCCTTAATTGTTTTATAGTTGTACTAGTGGTCCGGTACACGAAATTCATGCATGGGTGCGGTCCCTAGGCCTAGCCGGTAATCGAAGCATGACCATCTGGAGTGGAAGGGCAGGTCCCAGCTGACCGCTGACCTCTGACCTCTGGGCAGCACCTGGGACTCCGAGGCCCCCCCACCTGCCCCCTTCTGCTTGAGTCACTGCGCCTGAGTCCCCACGCGAAGATGTGGTAAGCGTGGCAGGATGCTACGGGCCAGGGCGCAGCGTGGGACTCTGGGTCGCCCAGCAGAGCCGCATGGAAGCCGGGTGAGCAGCACACTCTCTTCTGGCCAGCCTCACAGACCGGCTCCTGTGTGAATCCATGGGGAGCCCGACTAGCCCCTGCTGTCCCAGCGGCTGCGGCCGGGCTCACCCAAGGACGAGGACGCTGTGCTGGTGCAGGGCGTGCTCCTCGCAGGCCTGGTACCTAAGACCAGGGAAGGGTAGCAGGGGGAGTGAGAGTGAGCGCAGTGGACACCCCGCATTCTCACCACACCTCTGTCCCCGTCACCCACGCCCCCAGGTAACTGGCAAGAGGTTGCAGCCCGTCACCTATGCCCGCCATGTTCCGCGCCCTCCCTGGTGGTCAGCGCATGTCATAGCAAGCGGCTGAACTCCAGGTGGAGGGAACAATTTGCACATTAGGCTTTTATTATATAGGATTGCTAGACTCAGAATGAGGATCAAAAAAGTACAAAGACTGTATTTGGTTAACACATCTCTTCAATATCTTATTCTAGTCATTTAGCCTACACATTTATAATATTCTGAGTTTTGCTGACTGCTTCCCTGTGGTGTCACTTAACATATTCCTGTTATCTGTTATTGCCATATTTCCAACATTATGTGCCAAGAGATGTGGTGACAGTGTCCATCCTTGTCTTGTTTCTGACTTTAGTGAGAATGCCTTTAGTGCTTCTCCGTTTAAGATTTTATTCAATGCTTTATAATAAATGAGTAGTAAATTTTGTCAAATACCTTCCCTGAATATTATGAAATCACAATTTTTCTCTTCTGGATTGCTGGATTTTGTTTACTAATATTTATTTTACAACAATATTCCTAAGTGAAACTGGTCAGTAGCTTTCTATTTTGGTACAAACTATCAGATTCTGGGATTAATATCATACGTACTTCAAAAGAAATTTGGAAGTTTTCTCTCTTCTTATGTGGTCTTAGTAAGTACTTGCAGTAACACTAGGCTATCTGACCTTTAAGATTTGGTAGAATTCCCCTGTGAAGCCATCTTGACCTTTATGCAAGTGCTCTTTTACTAGTTTCTCTATTTCTTCTATTTTCTCTACAGTGACTGGTCTATTTAAGCATTCTGCTTTTGAAAGAGTTGATTTTGATAAACTGTATTTTTCTCTAAAATTATCAATTTCATCCACTTAACAAGGACAATTTTTAAAGCTTACCAAATATTATAGATTATCAGTTACATGTTCACCTTCCTATCAAAGATATTACATATTTTTTTATCCAGAGAAATTAAGGCAGGTATAAATAGTTCTGAAAGACTAAAGGAAACTTTTTATATGTCAAATAATTATCAATATGGCAAGAACCCATTAGAATAGACCCTAATTACTCTTGTAGTAGCCTAAATGTTTTTAAAGCCAACATGTTATTTTCTATTACATTAAATGTTAAATATATTACTCAGTATAACATATTGTAGTCAACTCAAAAAGAGGGGGGGGAGGTAAAAAAAAAAAGGAGCACTATAGAGCAAAGTATTAGAGAAGTATGCTGAACTTCATGAGTATTTGCCTTGAAAGGGTGTTTTAACAAAATCTTTTAAATGCTTAGTTCTTCCATCCTACTGAGGTGCAGCTTCAATACTACATCTCTGATTAAAATCCCAGGCATGAAGACAACATTGTAGTCATACCTCCAATACCTTAATGATGAAAATAAACTAAATAGATTAAGTATTTTAAGTAGATTTTAGATTTATATATCGTGGGGCACACAAAACAAGAATTATATTCAAACAGTTGCATTAAAGTGCTTTGTGTATCTCAAATAAATAGGCGTTATATTGTATATTTGACATAACTGCCAACTGACATATTCTGACAATATGCAGTGGGAAATAAATATCACCTGTCTATGTAACAACTTGCCAATAATAAGGAAAGAGTCACAAGAAATAAACAGACAAATCCAGATTGTGGGACAGTCTATAAGACAGATGGTCTAGACCTGAGCTGTATAATAAGATAGCCATTAGCCACATGTGGCAATTTAAAATTAAATTAATTAAAAGTAGATAAAATTAAATTTTCATTTCCTCAGTTGCCCTAGTCATATAACAAATGCTTAATAGCCACTTGCACCTAGTGGCTATTGTACTAGACTGGTGCTGGTTAAACTTTCAAAAAAGGCAGTCATGAAGGAAAAAAAGGCAGAGAAGTTTCGAGACTAAACAACACTAGAGAGAACTGACAACTTAAATACAATGCACGATCCTTGATTTGATCCTGCATGGAAAAGAAAACAACTATAAAGTAAACAACTATAAAGTATATTTTGAAGATAATTAAGGAAATTTGAATGTAGGCTGTACATTAGAGATAGTGTAGCAATATTAAATTTCTTAGGAGTGATAATGGTATCATGGTTATGCAGAAGAACGTCCTTATTCTTCAGAGCTACATGCTAAAATACTGAGATGATCCGTCTTGTCTATAACTCACTTTTAAATGCTTTTGCAAAAATTAAACATAGAAAGATACCAAAATGGAGCAAAATCCTTAAAATACCTACAACTGATGAATATAGGTGAAGGGTATATGTGTTTGTAGTATTACTGTCAACTGCTTTGTTTTTTAATAATTTTCACGTTGTTTTTCCTTTTTTGTTGTTCTTTTTGAGGGGGTAATCCAACCTGAGATACACAGAAAATTACAAAAACCTTTCCATTCTTCAAGTTTTTGATTAAAGAAATATCTACTAACTATACAAATTAGGGTCATTTAATGTCTGGTTTTTGATAAATGATCACAAATTTGTAGACCAAAACTTAAAGTTCTGAGGTCGAAATACTTGAATATAGTAACAAGCCTCAAGATTCAGAACATGTGCAAGTTCAGTTCCAGAATGCCTCACATTCAAATTTTGGGAAAGAAAGAGTTGATTTAGAAGGCATGAGGGGAGCTATTTGAATCTATACTATGTACTCTTAGCAAATTATGGGACAGAAAAGATATGTTTTAAATTTTCCCAACTTCAATAAACATTTACAAAAATTAAATACTTAGGCTCACAACAACGCCCTCTTACTTCTGAATAAAAATCTATTATGAACCTTAACCTTTTGAGTATCTTCAGCAGTATCTCAAACTTCCCTAAAAGATACATGTATGTATTACTCTAGCTCCAGTCAAATTAGGAGTTTCAAAACTATGGCATGTATAAGATAAATAATTGTATAGCTTCTTAGTATTAAAACATAATGACTAAAAGTCTTTATTCCAAGAAACCAAAAATTGTTTTTTAACATTGTCGATACATTTTTATGCTTATATTTAAATCTACTTAAGACACTGGTTTTCATTCAATGTTTCTTACTCCATTTAGTTTCTATTTGTGTTGTGGGACAAATGTTTTATGGGAACACATTACCAATATTAAATATTTAACAACCCTTTTAAGATGTACATAGTTCAAAACTTTTCATGTCTTGATTGACATCAGATGGGAAAAATGAAAATATTTTAATAGCTCTTCACAGTGTATTCATAACATTTGCATGAAAATTAATTATTTTATTTCTTAAAACTTTATTTTTCCTGCTTATTTCCTACCCGAGGCCAAAACGTGGATATCACACTAAGCTGATGTGTAAAAAAGTATCCCTGTAGTTAAGGAGCAGTATTATTGTGTTCTTAAGATATTTTCTTGCCAACACCCTTAGTAATAAAAGGTAAAAAATACAAAGATGTGAACATAATTTACAAGTTAAAAGATTTTCAAAATTTTCCAAAAGGTGTCACAACCCTAACTTACACATGTTCAAACTTTCTAACCAGATATTACTATTTCAAATAATTATATAACAGTTCTATTTAAAATATATATTAATTGCACATCCCTAATTAAAAATAACTAATGTCAGTACAACATGTTAAAGACACAACCCCACCATACCTACACACACAGAGAGAATCTCTCATATTTCCCTGACTATAGATTCTCCTTATTCAGCAAGAATTTAAGGACTTAAAGGACTTGTAGCCCCATAATACAGATCTGCTTTAATGTACTCACTATACATGCTTTCATATATTAATTTTAATTTGAGGTAACACTTTTAAAAAGATCATTTTTTGATCTGCCAAAACAATAACTCTATTTACTGATTTGCATACGCAAATCACCTACCATAAAGTGCTACTTCTGAATTTTACTTACTTCCTAAATAGCTCCCAAAATATAAAGATATTGCATTATTAACTATTTGTATTAATTTTCAATATATTCTTAAGCTCTTAAGTCTTCAAGTTATTATTTAGAATAACAACTTACTCTTAAAACTAGAAAAACAATAATCAAGTCATATTTGGTTCTAAAACAAAATCAATTAACTAGCACATTACTTTTTGAGGGAAAAATGTATTTTTAAGTCTTAAAATGGCTATTTAAATAGTTCAGAAAGCAGATTTTAAGTCACAAAGAAATTAAGTCAGGAGAAATTCAGGAAAAGTTTATGATGGGAAATAGGTTACAACACACATATAGACAAATCCCAATAGTCAGCCAGTAAGTTTACTTTTAAAGTTCTTACTTGAAAGTACTTCAAGCAAGTAAAAGATAAACATGAAAACAAAGTCAATTTTACTTTTACCAAATAATGGCAAATGGAAGGTATATCAATGATTTCACTAGTAAGTCTACATACATAGCCTTTTGGAATATCTGTGTCCTCATTACTTCCAGGGTCATTTTCTAAGTGCTGCTTGATTTTTTCTTCTAGTCCCACAGCATCTGCTCCTTGATACTGATCAATCCTCACTTTGTTTCGAAAAAACAAAAACGTAGGTGTTGCTGATATGTTGTTGGTGGCAGCTGTTCCCTAGAAGTGGCAAGTTAAATAGCATTATGAATTAAAAATAATCTTAAATCACTTTGAATATTTACTCTGTATCCCTATGGAAGTTAAATATCATGGACTAACGACATGTAAAATAATTTATTCCTAATAGCTACTTAAGAAAAAGCAGGCCTATTCCCTAAACTACATTACCAACTGGGGCACAACTACATTACATTATTAGTTTTACATACACAATGAAGAACAGCCCTATATTTTTATCAGTTTTAGCATTAAACACTTCACACAGTAAAACAAGTTAGCTGCTTTATAGAAACTGCTTTACAATGCCAGATAGCTCTCTCATAACTACATACTGTTTCCCAAATGAGTATTGATATGTCAGCACAAACCACTGGTGCTAGGAAAAAATACACACATGAAAAACAGTAGCCCATCTGACCATAAAACTGAGGTAACATCCTTTGCATTGTAATCCTCACCCAGTTCTACTCTTATAGAAATGCCTTTTGATCTTTTTAAATTCTGTTCTAACGCCACAATTTTTACAAGATAACTAGTGAATGGAAATTAGTTAATAAATACTGATTCATGAGAATTATAAAGGAAACAGTAAAGCAAGTGTGTCACCTTACATATTCAAATACTATGAACATGCACCATCATATCGTCTAAAGAAAAGGCATCAAGTTTACATAAAGATGTCTTCTCTAAACCTCATAAAAGACAAATCTTTTAGAACAGTGCTGTCCAAAAGAAACATAACATAAGACATGAATGTGAGCTGCATATGTAATTTAAAATTTTCTAATATCCACTATAAAAGAGTAGAGAAAGAAGTGAAATCTGTAACTACAAGAGAGCATAACTCCAGAAGTGAGAAGAAAGCACTTCCAGGTCAGAGATAGTGAATGTTTAAAATAAGAGCCAAGCTGGGCCGGTGTGGCTCAGTGTTGAGCGTCAACCTATGAACCAGAAGGTCATGGTTCACTTCCCAGTCAGGGCACATGCCAGGCTGCAGGCTTGATCCCCAGTATGGGGCGTGCAGGAGGCAACTGATCAATGATTCTTTCTCATCATTGATGTTTCTATCTCTCTCTCCCTCTCCCTTCCTCTCTGAAATCAATAAAAATTTATTTAAAATAAAAATAAAAAGTAATAGCCAACATTACAGTCTGGTAGTATGTGACATAGGCACTAAATAATGAATGTTAATATAGGGTTTACACTAACCAAATCCCCAAACTACTAACTACAAACTAAACAACATTCTAAAACATTTCCACACTCAGAAATGTAACAAAGCCTCACACACACACAAAGAGTAGCTACAGTGCTGTCCCTTAGAGATAAAGACTGTATTTTTAGTGTTGGAAGGAGCAATTCCTCCATATTTCTACATATGAAAATGCAGAACTATCACACAGCCATTCCAATTAAGTAATCAGGACAATCTATCTACAACAGTGGTTCAATCAAAAGTAACCAACATTTTAAAATTTCTGCTGAGTATGCAGCTTTGGATCTAAGATTACAAACTGATCAATGCAAATCAAACTACAGGATAGAACAAAAATAGGTAGGTTTACAGTTGTTCGCATGGAAAATAATACAATAAAATAATAATACAAGAATAAACTGTGTTTCGCATACTCACAAGTGTAAACCTACTTTTGCCACATCCTGTATAATCAAGAATTTTCTGCTACAGCTTTCTAATCAGCCAATGCCTCTGTAGAAGATATAACGCTAGATTTGCAAAAAATAAAGAAACGTAAAACAATACAGAACTGGCAGGTGACCTATTAGTTTAACAACATAATATTAAAGTTTTTATACCAGAAAGCTACTAATACAAACAAACTCAGAAGCAATTAATATAACTGAACTACCCTTCTTAACTAATGCAGCCATAATGGGCATTTATAATAATCATTATCAACATAACATTTTCTTATCTTTAAAGGAGTAAGTACTATATACACAAAAAGATCAATGATGATATTAATGTTGAAATTTCAAACAGATTTGTAAACAACTTTTTTTAAAGGGCGTCTTTCCCTTACCTGACACTGGTGTACATCTACTTCCAAGAAAACTGCCTGTGGATACTTATTACTCATAGTACTGAATGCTGGGGCAATCCTTAAACATGGTCCACACCTGTGAGAAAGGTAAGGCGATATTGGTAAAATAACACCAAACACTGTACTACTTTATACTCTGAAGAACTTGTGTCAATTAAAACATAAAATAAGATAAAACAAATTCTGATCATCCTGGGTTTAGACTTCTAGTCCTTTCCACTGGACTAGTTAGATATACTTGCATCAATACCACATTGCCTTTTATTTAGAAAGGGAGAGGAGAAGGAGGGAGAGCGGGCAACCCCATCAGCTTTCTGCAATTCATTAAGAACCAAACCCACAAAACTAAAACTTTTAAGTTGACCTAACCTAACACAATTATTTGGTGAGAACTAAAGACCAGAAAGTTTAATGATTTGTTCAAGATCAACCACTCTAGTTGATGTCAGGACCACAACTAGAATAGTCAACTCCTAAATCCAGTCCAAAATGAGCTTTCCCTGAAGAGTAATTGTGCTAAGAGTAATAAGCTAGAAACAAAAGAACAAATATTATGATTCCACTTATATGAAGTACCAAGAAGAGGTAAATTCAAATACAGAAAGTAGAAGAGAAGCTACCAGAACTGGAGGTGTTTGTGTGCAAGGGGTGTGAGGGGAGATTGAGAGTTACTGTTTAAAGGGTAGAGTTTCCATCTGAGATGATGAATACATTCTAGGGAATATATAGTGGTGATGGTAGTACACTGTGAATGTACTTAATGCCACTGAATTGTATACTTAAAAATGGTTAAAATAGTAAAATTTATGTTACCTATATTTTACTACCTATAAAAAATGAGAAAAAAACTAGAGCCATTGAAAATTCTTAAATGGAAGAGTGACAATCTGTGTAGTGTTTTAATAAAATTAGTAGACAGGATAGCTAAAGCATGGGAATGATAAATAAGGAATAAAGGTTTTAAAGTAGGGTTGGAAAGGAAATGAAGTAGGTGCTACAGGAAACTATGTTCTTGGCCTAAAATGGGACATTAACTTTGATCTAAGAGGTTTCTTACATGATTTAACTTGATGTATTTCGATGTTTGAGAGTCTAATACTGATGCCAATATATGTAAATCTGGAGTCACAATGGCACAGAGTTGGTGTAGGAATGCATTAATGGCCAAAATGTTAAAAGGCAAATACAATGTTATCAGATTTGTAAATATTACCTAATACTTTTGAATTTAAAAGTTATCCAAATTCAACTATTTTACCTGCTCTCAGTTTTTACAAAGAAAACAAAATTTTCACCCCAGCAAAATACCCCTGTTAAAGTAAATAAGAGCCCTGGCCGTGTTCTCAGTGGTTAGAGCATCAACCCTTGGACCAAAGGGTTGTGGGTTTGATTCCCAGTCAAGGTCAGGGTGGGTGAAGGTCGAGTGCTGCAAGCAACCAATCTCTCTGGCATGGATGTTTCTTTCTTTCTCTTTCTCTCTCCCTCCTTTCATCCCTTCCACTCTCTAAAACAAAAACAAAAATCAAAGGAAACATTCTCAGGTGAGGGTAAACAAATAAAATAAAATAAATTACTCTTTTAAAAAGTAAATAACTGCTTTTGATTGGTAACCAATCAATGTCTACAGTTATGTTTATTAGTATGGTTAAATGATAATATATTGCTGAAGGAGGTGTTTCCTTAATAGCAACATTTCCCCACTTTTCTCACTTCAATTAATAACTTATTGCTCTGTCATCTCTCCTTTTGCTATTGTAAGGGGGTGGAGGAAAAAAGACTCTATCATTGAGGGATAAAAGTGTAAGTGCTGCCACTGACTAGAATTAGGAAAGTGGACTAAAAATGAGATTCACTGCTAAAATCATCTCTTCCCACCTGGCTGGCATGGCTCAGTGGTTGAGTGTAGACGTATGAACCTGGAAGTTACGGTTTGATTCCATCAGGGTACAGGCTCGATCCCCAGTGTGGGACATACAGGAGGCAACCAATCAGTGATTCGCTCTCATCACTGATGTTTCTGTCTCTCTCTCCATCTCCCTCTCTGAAATCAATAAAAACATATTAAAAATAAAAAGTAAATAAAATCATCTTTTCTCTTTTCCAACTCTGGCTTAAGTCCTTAACAAATGTACAAGTATTCCCCATAGTAAGAGCATAGACATTACAAAATTGCTAAATCTGGGAAGGTACATTTGTAGATCTCTCACCTTCCTCTTAGGTATGTCTTTACAAACAAAATCTTCATCCTCTTCAATATAATAAATATCGAAGTCCACATGTCAAATGCATATTCTATTCCACCATATAAAATTCAATGTACTGCCCTTTTTCAATTCTGTATAAGAGACACTGGTCCAAAAATAAGTCCTAACTGGTTTTCATCTCTATCTGCAATTTTCCATCCCCTAAAACTACTAACCCTAACATCATTTCTTCTATACTCAACATTTATTGAATCTTGTTCAGTAGCTGTGAAACACTTTTTGCTCTGGGATCCAAAATATTGCCTTGTTTATATAGTTAGTTGGGCAATAAAATGCATCACACAAACAGCGACAGCCACAGCAGATTTCTCCAGGTTAGCACGTAAGTGTAAATAATGTCAGGGGGTCAAGATAAATCAAGTGGATACCTCTAAGTCAGGGGTCCTCAAACTTTTTAAACAGGGGCCAGTTCACTGTCCCTCAGACCGTTGGAGGGCTGGACTATAGTTTAAAAAAAACTATGAACAAATTCCTATGCACACTGCACATATCTTATTTTGAAGTAAAAAAACAAAATGGGAACAAATACAATATTTGTATTTGCATTGTGGCCCGCGGGCCGTAGTGTGAGGACCCCTGCTCTAAGCCTTATACCACCAGTGATGGCGAACCTTTTGAGCTCGGCGTGTCAGCATTTTGAAAAACCCTAACTTAACTCTGGTGCCGTGTCACATATAGAAATTCTTTCATATTTGCAACCATAGTAAAACAAAGATTTATATTTTTGATATTTATTTTATATATTTAAATGCCATTTAACAAAGATATGAGTTCGCGTGTCATAGGTTCGCCATCACTGATAGGCACTGACATACACAAGGGGTGTTCAGCAAATAGACACACTCACTCAAACCTTGGTTCTGAATGCCTAGTTCCATGTCCCTCTCACACAGGAACACTGCACACTCAACCAATATGGAAGATCCAGCAGTTCCGAGACCCATAAGTCATGTTAAGAGCTACCAAGGCCAGTGAGCAGCTTATCAAGACCCCTGCCCTAGCCGGTCTGGCTCAGTGGATAGAGTGTCAGCCTGTGGACTGAAGGGTCCTGGGTTGATTCAGGCCAAGGGCACAGGCCTAGATGAAGGGCTCGATCCCCAGTAGCGGGCGGGGGAGGCAGCCCTCTTTCTCTATCTATCTCTCTGTCTCTTCCTTCCTGAAATCAATCAATAAATATATATTTTTAAAAGATCCCTGTCCGCCAAAACCGGATTGGCTCAGTGGATAGAGCGTCGGCCTGAGGACTGAAAGGTCCCGGGTTCGATTCCAGTCAAGGGCATGTACCTTGGTTGGGGGCACATCCCCAGGAGGAGATGTGCAGGAGGCAGCTGATCGATGTTTCTCTCTCATCGATGTTTCTAACTCTCTATCCCTCTCCCTTCCTCTCTGTAAAAAATCAATAAAATATATTTTAAAAAAAAGATCCCTGTCCTCTTAAATCATTGGGTAAAAAAAAGAAATGCAGTCTATATGATCAAACCCAAACGTCTGGACACCGATCTTCCTGTATTATACACACCTACTATAATTTTTGTGTTCACACATGAAATCACATACACAGGGACGACTAAGTTACAAAGCTACTAGCCAAACAAGTAACAAAAACGTTAAGAAATTAAAAAGCACCCTGACCCAACATTAAACTTAATTTAAAATGCATTCGCTGAGCCTTTGGGTTAAGCACCCCGCGGATCCGTTGGATAGCCTCACGGGAAGCTCCCAAAGGCGAAATGCAGGTGGTGCAGAGTATCAACGTGTGCGGTAAATTGAGATTTCAGGGTTTCTAAGATGCAAGTGACAGCTGGCTCCCTGGAAAGAGAGGAACAGGCGCGAGCAGGGGCGGAGGTCGGAGGCTCCGGACCAGAGAGAACAGAGGCGGGCCACCTCGAGAGCAGGGCTCGTCTGAGTATTCAAACTGAGCTGGCGGGCATCTCCGGGGCTGGGGAAGCGAGCTGTCTGGCTTCCGTGCCCGCTAGAGACTCCCCGGTGCGCAAATGGGGACCAGACCCAAGAGCTGAGGCCTTACTGAGCAGCGGCCTGGGGCTGCGGTCAGAGTCAGACATTCCAGAGCAGGATGAGACCACCGGGGAGCCAGGACCCGGAAAGGGTGAAAGACAAGCACTGGCGGACAGAAGGGCCCACACGGCTCGGGCCCGGCCTCACCCTCGCATGGTGAACTTGACCACGGCGAGTCTAGAGCCGGCGCCGCTCAGCTCCGGCTGGAAATCCGGGTCGCTCCCGACCGGCTTCACTCCCACCATTCTCGGGGCCGAAGGGAGGCC